GTTGGGATGCAATGGGAAGAGTTGGGATGGGGCTGCAAGGAGGCATCAGGATGCAGTGAGAAGGGTCTGGATGGGGTTGCATGGCGATGTTGGGATGAGGAAACCATGGGGATCCATCAGGAAGGGTTGGGCTGGGGCTGCGCGGAGGATCCGGGATCCCTCGGGAAGAGCCGGCATAGGGCTGCGCGGAGCGTGCGGGATGCATTGGGAAGGCTCGGGCGGCGCGCGCGCCCTCTCCGCCCCGCAGTCCCCGTGTCGAAGCCGCACGTGGCCGTGGCCTCCTCCACGGTGCTGGAGCTCAGCGAGTTCGTGACGCTCAACTGCTCGCACGCCAACGGCACCAAGGCGCGCTACACGTGGCTCAAGGACGGGCGCCCGCTGGGCAACGACTCGCGCCTGCTGCTCTCGCCCGACCGCAAGGTGCTCACCATCACGCGCGTCCTCATGGCCGACGACGACGTCTACAGCTGCCTCGTGGAGAACCCCATCAGCCAGGGCCGCAGCGGGCCCCTCAAGCTCACCGTGTACCGTAAGTGTGTGGGGCGTGTGGGGCGCCCCATAGCGACGTGTGCGGCGACCCCACGCCCGGGCGGTGTCCCCGCGCAGGGCGCAGCTCGCTCTACGTCATCCTCTCCACTGGAGGCATCTTCTTGCTGGTGACGCTGGTGACCGTGTGCGCCTGCTGGAAGCCCTCCAAGAAGTACGCGGGGGCGCTTGGGGGGCGCGGGGGGACCCATAGGGGTGAGGGGGACCCATAGGGTGTGGGGGGCTTATGTGGGTGCCCCACGGCCGCGCAGGGGCAAGCGGGGAGCGGAGGCGCCCGGCGGCGCCGACTTCGCCGAGCAGGACGAGGAGCAGCTCAAGCACGAGGGTGAGTGTGGGGCAGCCCCACGGCGCGCCCATAAGGTCCCCATGGGTCCCCCTCACCCCCCCATACGTCCCCCAAGCCTCCCCCATGGCGTCGCTTGAGCTTCCCGTGCCACCCTATAGCCTCCCCATAGCGCCCCACAGCACCCAAGGTGCCCCACAGCTCCCCCACAGCACCCCGCAGTGCACCATAGCACCCTACAGCATCTCCCGTTGCACCCCATAGCCTCCCCATAGCACGCCAGCACCCCATACTGTGTCCCATATCCTCCCCATAGCACCCTGTAGCCCTCCAGCACCCCATA